AACATCTAGCATCACATTTTTTTACCGATTTATTTCAACATTGATTCAGAAAAAAATAAGTACGTATTGTGTCATATCATATGATTTAACGGTTCCCGCGGGTCTGCTTTTTATTACATGATTTATTCTTTACAATAAAGAATACATGTTTCGGACATAATATTAAATCGGGTTAATAATCATTATTTTCATTTAAGATCACCTGGTCCGAGATAAGCAAATCCGAGATGTGCGTAGATATCCTATATCTAGATCCATACTTATAGACTATGTTGTTATTATATTAACTCATAATTAAGATGCAATAGGTGCAATAAAGGTACAATGAAGGTACAATGAAGGTGCATTGAAGGTGTGATGATTTTTTTTCTTATAAAAACGTATGGAAATATCATATCGTAAGTGTATCTCAGTTAGGTATCGTTGAAATTAAATTTTTGTGATGTGGACCGATGAACAATTACGCTTATTGATCGATCTATATAATTACTAACCAAATAATTAGAATTAGAATGATAATAATGATAAATTGCTATCAAATAAAATAGATAGATGTTAGTAGTATATTTCGTATTAAATCATGTATTAGCGATAAGTATATATAGAACGAATATTTTCCTTTGTTAATAAATCGTTGTTTTATTTGTACCGTTGATATTCATGACCCGCAATTTTATTAGTTCCAAATCATTATTACCTTGTCGAAATCTCTGATTGGTTCCAGAATTACCCGTTAACATATGTTACCATGAACTTCTCGTGCCCAGCAAAGCGAAAGCTCAAATTAATAATATTAGAAAACTAGTACTAAAAATTAATTACAAGAGAAAATACTATACCTGTAAATACAAGGCAAAAAAATCCTTATTACTCAGGATAATTCTTTCCACGCCTCAATCAAAGCCTTCCACTATAAAGAGTTCGAGTCTTGTTACTATAAAATCACACTAGATATTATATTAACTTCTTCGAACTGTCTGTGTAACTACACCTTCGAACTATCGCTATTATAAATATGTATTAACAGTACTTCAGATGCAGAGCATCCTCTTTCCAAGAGACAGTAGCTTAACAGCAGTTATCTAGAATTTAATACGTACTTGTAAACACATATGTGCACTATCATATGATTTAACAGTCCCACGGGTCCGCTTTTCTGCGATCACTTAACGTCAGGTTTATCAATTTGAATGTGCAATAAAAACTTGACCGGCTTTAATAATCAATAGCCTGCATTATTGCTTTGCAATGACTCTTCGGGTCTAAATTTTATGCGGTGTTACCTTAATTTCTCATAGTGATTTTTTTATTAATGAATAATGCGAATCCTTTTCTTATTATATATAACCCCCGATAAGAAAAAGCATGAATGGGGCTTAAAAGGGTTATAAGGGTAATGAGTATAACAAAAATTATATATTATGAGGACTTCGAATCTCCGCCATCTCCCGAGATCGTCAGATCTGAACCCACTTTAAACGATTGTCGAATCTAAGGGGGGTTAATTTCACCAAAAAAACAACAAAATAAATTCAGCGTTTGGAAGTTATGACTGAGCGGAGAAAAAACTGGCGTTAGATTTGGGTAACGTAATTACTAATGTATTTTTCCTTCTGGCAGGTTTTTTAGATCTAGCAAATAAACAGTATAAAAATAAGTGATTTTTGTTTTGTAAGGTGGGTAAACAATAGCGTTATTTTTTTTTGCTTGTATATTTTTTTTTATTTGCAATTTACTTCCAAGGTCTGGTTATTGTATATTGCTCGCTACTAGAGATTTTTTATTTCGTTACTTTCTACTAACTATGGGTTTTTATTTTTTGCAGAGTCCCAAAATGGCAATTATTAACCTTAACTGCGTCATCATTGGAAGAAATTCTGAAAAGGAAACTTTTACGATTGAGATTTCTAATAACAAAAAGTATGAATTGCTTAAACATATGATAAAAGAATGCTTGGCGCCTTTATTTGATTCAATTCCTTCTACTCAAATCACACTTCGTTCATCCCCCGACAATGGTCCAATATATAAACCAATGGTTAGAATTTCTAAAAACTTTACTACTAGCCCCGATGAAAATGGCGTTCATATTTACGTAGACCCCCTAAGAAATTAATTTTTTTAATTTATATTAAATAGTAAAATTTTTTTTATTTGTATTCGCACCTGTAATAGCGATATATATTTTTTATTTGTATATTGTTGTTCTGGCAACAATTATTATAAAATAAAGAGAGGTTCTGTGGGCTCTCCGTCTTCGAATCAGTTTAGCCTGATATAATTATACTGTATACACTTATTAGATTTAAATAATATTATATGAATACAAATTTCATGTTTTTTATCATGCGATTTTAGTAATTAATGTTTGCTTCACATCACAGATATATACACGATTAAAAATCAAAGCACAGAAATTACCATTTTATAATTATTGGATAAAATACAAATATCATTTTCTTTCATGATCAAGATCACCTGACGAAGTATAACGAATAAAACTTTAATAAGTCTAATTGCACGCCCCTTGTTTATTATATCATATTGTTAACCAGTCCATAAAAATCTTGAGGTTAATGATTACATCAGTCAAAAACACTGGTCCGTTCAGAAACTTCGTATGTATTAGCCCTGCGAAACTCCACTATGTATACTCGTCCAACAACAGGGTCTGGTCGTCCCGACACAAGGTTACTATAACTTCTAAGTAATCGTGCAACAGCATCATCCATTGTTTGCATTCTATTGAATGCGAAGACTGAATTCGATTGCGGAGGATGTGTGACATTGGGAAATGGGTTAGGAGTATAGCCGGGAGTACCTCTAATAACTAATCAAAAAAAAATAAAATAAGAAAAACTCTAAACAAGATTATATAATATTAATAAATATACCTTGGGCAACATGATTTTCTGTGATATTTCTGCTGACAAGACCCGGTTGATGGTATTCAATAATCAATAATGGATCACTACAAAAAATTTCATCACCATCATCTTTATGTTTTTCAAGAATAATATCACGCCATACTGCAAGAAGATTTTTTGTCTCTTCACTAAATTCCTTTGGAAGTGACATTTCTTTGGAATAACTTCCGCTATAAGAAATACATATTTATTTTGTAGTTTATCGATTGGAAAAAGAATGACATTACAAAAGGTACATGACAAAACATACTTATACCACTTATACCCTGAAGTTATAACTATTAGTAAAAATAAGAAAAGCCAAATTGGGCTGAATAAAATCCCAAATAAGAAATAAACAAAAAGAAAAATGAATAGCAAGGGAATCAAAATAGGAGAAAGAATCAAGATTAAACAAATTCGATTCATCTAGCAATATTTTGGCAGAGCAATGTAACAATCAGTAAAAAAATCGATATCTATTTATATATTACGATCAGCATGTAAAATGATATATCATCAGCATGTAAAATGATACATGTAAAATGTACACCTCAATGTTTTACGATAATGAATTAAGAAATCAGATGATATAAGTTATAGGTCGCAAAATTTTTGGATGCTTGATCAACGAACTCCTTAATTTTTCGTATCCTTTCTGGAATGACAATTTCTGGTTTGTCGTTGTACCATACTTCAAGAAGGGAAATTCCATTATCTTGACACATGCATCATTTTTGCCGATCACGATTAACAATGTCTTCGAGTTTTTTAACATCCTTATACCAGCTAGTGCTATGAAGCCGATGCTGAGCCCCTTGCATCTCCAATGCAATTCGATATTTTTGGAAGAAGGCATCAAGCTCTAATCCGTTCAAGAAAGGAGGGCGATATTCGATTATAGGTTCCTCATTAAGAATTTCCTTAGATATCTGGATGCACTTGGTCTGGAATTTGCGATTTTTCTTAGTTTCTCTTTCTGCTGATCCTGCTCTAGTTTAAAAATTCTAGCCTCAAGCTTGGCGAAGCTCTGTCTCAATGCTTCAAGCCTAGCTTTCTCGTCAGTTTTCTTAGCCTCAAGCTTAGTGATTAATACTTCAAGCTCAGATGACATGATGGATAATATTTTTATATACGAAAGAATTATTCAATGTTACGTGACAAATGTAAAACCGCTTTATTAATACGTGCGAAAAAAAATACAAATATTAGAGACCTAGCCCGTGATACATGACGTTTATACTATTGTCTGCGTGAAAAATTTCACGCTCTATTACTTTACCAAAAAAAATTCTCGATCATATATTAATACCAATACAATAAACAAATTCACGAAATACATATGCAAAGTAAACTGATTATGTATGCGAAATCAGCCACCAGGGCCAGCTTTGTTGATAGAAAGAAAAAAAAATTTTATTATATGTATCAATCCGTTAACCCGATTTATTTTTAATTATTCGAGAATTATCACATTTACATCGCTTATATATTCCCTCTTCTACTTTTTTGCATGTTTTACAATATAGATGTGAATGGTGATCGCATTCGTTACAAACCTTACACCCATGCTTCCACCCTCTAAAGTAATGATATAACCCGGTTAGACAATAATCGGGTTAACCGAACCAAACTGAAAAAATCGGTTGACACAGTTAAGCAAAAGCTTAACCGGTTAACCCAGTTATTCAGTTGACCCGATATAATCGGTTAACCCGGCTAACCCGATATAATCGGTTGACCCAGCTGACCCAATATAATCGGTTGACCCGGCTGACCCGATATAATCGGTTGAAAACACAAATATCGCATAAAAAATGTAAAAGAAAATTTTTTAAATTTTGTATGAAAT